AGAAACTAAGGATAGTCTATCAAAACTTGAAAACAGATTTGCAATGGTGACCATGAAAGGAAATGTTTCTTAAAAATAACAAGGAAACAGGCAGTAACAACACAAAGGCTAAAAGATGACAAGAGGATCTATAACTTAAGAATAAAGAATGTGAATGAAGAAGCAGGGATACAAACAAAGGAATTACAAAGGTTATTCACAGAAATAATTAAGGAAAACTTCCCAAACATAGGAAAAGAAAATGATATTCAGATGTATGAGACATACAGAACTCCATCCACCTACAACCAAAACAGAGCCACATCCAGACATATAATAATCAATATCTCAGAAATACAATATAAGAATAGAATATTAAAAGCCATCAGAGAAAAGAAACAGATCACCTATAAAGGAAAACCCATCAAAATCATGGCAGACTTCTCAACACAAACCATCAAATCAAGAAGAGCTTGGAATAAAGTATTCCAAGCCCTGAAAGAAAATAACCTCCAGCCCAGATTGATGTACCCTGAAAAGCTGTCTCTAGAAATTAATGGAAAAACAAGATGCTTCCAAGACAAAGAGGAACTGGGGGAATTCACAAACACCAATCCAACCCTACAGAGAATACTGCAGGGCATTCTAAAGAGAGAGAAAAGTACCAGAATTTTAGAAACAGTGGCAGCGAGGCCTCAATGAATGGAGCAAAAAGTGGAATATAGGAGAAAAGCAGGCAACTAATCACAGAAAAAGAGCACAACTGAAATGAGGCAGAGAAGGTTGGCTATAATCTCTAATGTAGATGGCCTTGATACACTAAAAAAAAAAAAGAAAAGAGAAACCTACAGGCAGAGTAGATCAGGAGGTAGGGTCCACTGAGGTGGTCTTTATAGGATATATAATTAACCTGAAAAAGGGTTTACAGACTGAAAATCAGTATGAGAAAACAATGCTCTATATAACAGGGAACCAGAGAGTAATAGGGGCAACTCGACCAGCACCTGCAGATAGGTTGGAAAGACAGGCTTTAATAGGTAAAAGAACATTACTTGAGATCAAGTCCAGGAGAGAGAAGGCTCAGAACCACCTAGGTAAATAGCAGGTTGCCCCCACACACACACAATCTAAAAACTGAGGAAGGTGATGAAGCCCAAAAATGCATAGTGCACCCTGGGGGAGTGAAAGGGGAGGAATAGTCTTTAAAAAGATGGCAGAGGATATTGTTAATAGTATATCAGGATTTAAAACCCATATTACTCACACCGCTCTGCTTAGATAGATTATATTCTGTCCCAGTTTGTCTACTTGCACTAGATCTGAGGACACAGACAACTATCCCAAAAATAACAGGATATAGTACAGTAATCAGCCTTAATTTCCTATTAACTTAATCTGGAGCCCTGTATAACTTAGACTGTTTTACCATGATTGATCTTAGTTAAATCTGGCTTGTTTGACTGCTGTTTGGTATCAACAGATTTTATTCAAAACTGTTATGATTGATAGTATCAAGTTTGAGAGTATAGGCAACTACACTGAAGATGACAAGATTCACTATGATACCCATTCTGGTTTGGTTATTACCTGTTTTTGAAGTTTTACACTATCTACAAAATTTTGTTTTTACTAGTATTGTTATGTACTGCTATATTCAATTATACTATCTGATGATATAGACAATTCTATTGACGATAACAAGAGACAACACAGTAACCATTGTAGAATACCTTGTACAGTGGTTTTATATGACTTTCATTTCATGTGTTTATAGGAATATGTTTTATTTTGCCTTGCTTTGTTTTGTTTCTCCGTCTAATATAGAAAGGATAGAAATACATTTTGAAACATATGCATGCATAGAACCTATAAACAGTTTTCAAGAACGGATCTTATAGTGCTTGATGCAGTAAACAACTACTTTGAAGAAAAAGAGACACTACAGTACCCAGTGATGATTCCATAGTGTCATGATGTGAAATCCAGCAATACTATTATTCTTTGTTCAGATTTTAGTCTGCTTTGGTTTGTTTAATCTCAACATAAACGAAGGTATGGATAACTGCATGTATGTTTCAGTGTATAGGATTGATAACCATATTACTAAGTTTTTGTTGAATAGTTGAACAGAACTGTTTGCAGTCTTGCTGTTTGAATCCCCACTTTGTATGCTTCACTTTTGTAATCTGAACAACTATTCGTAAGAGGACAATATGTAATCATCAACTAGTGATTTCTTACTGTTTATTTTTTTCTTTGAAAGTATTATTTCTACCATTTTTCTGTTTTTTTAGTCTTTCTTTAAATAAAAAAAAAAAAGAATAGTTGAACCTCCCAACCTAATAAGCAACAGGCTGATTCAGAGAAACACAGGCTAAGATGATAGCTACTGAATTTAAAAAAAAAAAAAAAAACTTAATTCCTATATTTTCTGTCTGACTTTGCAGGCCTAAAGTTGGTAGTCTGAGCACCTATTTAGAGGATAATAATATGCAATATAGAAACCAGAGGGGATCTCCTTCTAAAAATGATAGTCAATTATTTTAAAAATTCAAAATTTTAAAAATGAAATTGAAAACACAATTTCATTTACAATAGAATACAAATGAATGCAATATTTAGGAACAAATTTAGTGAAGTACAAGCAATATATGTACAATGAAATTTTCATTATTGAAAGAAATTTTGGGAAGGCTTAAACAAATTTAAAGATATCCAGTGTTTGTAGATTAACACACTTAAGATAACAATACTCATAAATTTATTCATAGATTCCATGCAATTCTATCAGAATTTTAGCTGGTTTCTTTATAGAAATTGATAAACTGGCCTTAAAATTTATATGAAATTTCAAGGAACACGGAATAGCCAAGTAGTCTTTGAAAAGGAAAACAAAGCTACCAGCCTCATCCCTCTCAATTTCAAAACTTACTACAGTTTAAATCTTCAGGTCTTTGGATTAGGTATTAGTTTCTTAGATACGATTCATAGAACAAAAACAATCAAAGAAAAAAATAGATAAAGTGGGCTTCATAAACTTCATAAAAGTTAAAAACTTTTATTCATTAAATAGCACCATCAGAGTAATGAAAAGTAAAGCCCACAGAACAGGAGAAAAATTTTCCTAATTAGATATTGGAAAGGGACGTGGGCCTAGAATATATAAAGAACTTCTGAAAATCAGTAATAAAAAGACCAATGATCCAGTTAAGATAGGCAGAAGATTTAAATAGGTATTTCTTCAAAGATACATAAATGGGTCAACATCAAAAAGTCAGGTAAATGTTAACAAAAATAGAAAATAACTTACACACAGATATAAAATAGTAGTCCCAATTTGTTAGACTCAGAACTTCTAATCCTAGGTATATTACCCAGAAAAACATATGTCCGCAGAAACATGAATGTTTACAGCAACACTGTTTATAACAGTTCAGAGGTACAAATAACCCAAACACTTAGGAATAGGTGGAGAGATAATCTAAATGCGGTTATTTAAGGAATGGGGAATTATTTGGCAATGGGAATTTACGGAGTATTGATACAAGCTATAATATGGATAAACTTTGAAAACAATATGCTAAGTGAAAGAAGTCAGACATCTAATCATGTAAAATATCCAAAATAAGCAAATCAATAGAGACCCAAAGTAAATTAGGGATGGCTAAAGACTGAAGAGGAGGGAAACAGGTTTGATTGATGATGGGTGTGGCATTTATTTGGGAAGGAATGAAAATGCTCAAGAATCAGATAGAGCAGTGGTTGTACAACCTTATAAACTAAATGCTGAGTTTCATGGAATATGAATTATAACTTTGCAAAGAAACCTAGGGCTAGGAATGTAACTCAGTAGTTGAGTCCCTACTTGAGTTATACAAGGACCTAGGTTCAATTCCCAGCTCCACAAAGTAATTAATTAGTTAATTAAGACATCTACGGACAAATGTTAAGGTATTTATTTATTTAGAAAAAGAGACTTGCTCTGTAGTTCATGCTGGCCTTGAACTCACTATGTAGCCAAAACTGGCCTTGAACTCATGGCAGTCCTCCTACCTCAGTCTCCCAAAGTGCTAGGATTACAGGCATGTGCCACCACGCTTGACAAGACTGTATAAAAGACAGGAAAGAATTCTCAAACAAATGGAAGCACAATCCATGTCCTTCAAAGGGAAAGCCCAATATCATAAAAGCTTTTCTTTCCCAAATCAATATATTTGTAGTCAAAATTCTAGATTGACATTTTAGGAAATTAACACTGACCCTATGAAATACTTAATAGAACTTTTTATATTTTAGAATATCTTCAAATAGCCTAAGTCCTCAGAAATATCTGAATTTGTAAGTTATTTTAAAATTTGAATTAGATCTCTTTGGTGCCTTATTCATGATAGATCTTTAGTGGCCTCCTCGATGCATCAAGTCTTGGCAATTTATATTCTTCTAGAAAATCATAAACCCTTAAGGTTGTAAATGTAACATTCTCTTATGTTTACTTAAATCTCCCAGTAATTATCTCAGTTTTCTTTTTCTCTGTTTTCTTTCTTGATCACCTGGATTTGTGACATATTCTCAGTAATGCTTGCCTTGTTAAAACACTACCTTTTAACTTTCTTTTCCACTATCCATTGTTGTTTTCTAGATTCATCCAGCCTATCTTTTCTAGTTTCCTAACGAGCACTGAAGCCCGAGTAAAGGGAAGACAAGGAGGCGTCACCTCTGAGAAGAGCTCTGTGTTCTGCCACACACACTGCTGCTCTCTTCTCATGAGACTGGCCATAAGAAGGGATTGTAGATGAATGTCACAGCAGAAGAAACCTGGCATGGAATGTCACCCAAGCGCTCTCTTTCCATCCTGAGCTCAGCATATCTCTGACAGAGGACAGTAGACTAGTGGTACAGGTTTCCATGAGGCTTTTTTCTGAACAAGACTCAACCCTGTGGCAGATACCTTAATCTCTATGTCATAATGCAACTGTGAATTCATAGCTTTCCCTTCCCTCATATTAGTAATGCCAGGGCTTGGGAAACAGAAATCAGAGCTAATGAACCATCTAGAGACACACCATGGGAATTCGGTGTTGTGTAAGAGACCTAGCCAGATCTCCTAGGCTGCCTGGGGATGGGTGGGTATCTCCCTGAACTTCACAGGTTTTGGGAAAAGAGGGGATGCTAAAATGGTGCATGCCTTTGTACAAATCCATAAAGAAAAACAGCAGTCATCTATGTATTTTCCATTTAATTCTGATGACAGACCCCCAATGAAATAGTCATAGTTGCAACTGAGAACAAAGGAGAAACAACTAAATGGAAGAAATTGAAGAAGCGAAAACAACAGGTGAGTTAGAAGTTTGAATAGTTAAGAGAAATCCAGACCAGACCATAAATCCAATCTATGACGGTAGAGTGTGGGATTCTGCCTTTTATGGACCCAGAGTTTAAAATAACTGGCCTTCAATTGGCTCATTTCCTGGTCCCCATCCCTTTCCCAGCCAGGGCTGTGTGGATCTGAGCCTGACTGTGACATAGAGAGTGACTGGAGGAAGAAACCCATCAAAAAGTGGCTGGGTGAGAAGCAAGAATGTGAGAACTCTGAGTTAGAGTGATGTGTTCCAAATCCAGGAAGGTTGGACGTTGAATATATATGGTGAGGGGCTGAAAATCTGCCTCACTATCAAAATACTGGTGACAAAAGAAATCAGCCAATGTATTTTGGGACCAGCATTAGCAGAGAAAAGCTAGGCAAAAATATTTGGATGAAAGCCAAACTGTCCAAGCCCAGTCAGCCCTGAAAGGGTGGAGTGTGGCTGAACAAAAACACATCACGTTCCTAAGGTCTTCTTCTGCTTGGCGCGTTGCTTCTTCCTTAAAAGGGAACCGTGACACTGAGGGTCAGGTGATGAGTGTAAGGTTGTAGAGAAAAATCCCTACCAGGTAACTGGTGCCCAGAGTCCTGCTAACTCCTGTGAGTTCTCTGAGAAAGGGCTGGCACTGAGAGAATCTAGGGCCCTTCCAAGATGATCCTAGAAGTTGGTGCAGAAAATTAGTTCCCTGAGTGGTCTATCTTATCTCTGCCTAGGAAAATTTAAGAAAGAAAGTGAATGCAGCCATCCGGATCCAGGCCTGGTGGAGAGGCAACCTGGTACGCCGTACACTGCTACATGCAGGCCTCAGGGCCTGGGTCATTCAGTGCTGGTGGCGGCAGACCTCAGCACAACAGCTGGAGAAGAAGCGGCGGGCAGCACTGATGAAGTATGCAATCAGAGAGAGGGCAGTGACCAAGCTCCAGTCTCTGGTTCGTATGTGGCGTGTCCACTGGCGATACTGCCAGGTGCTTAATGCCATCTATATCATCCAGTGCCACTGGCAATGCCACAACTGCCAGACCTGTGCTTTCCTCCGGGGCCACTGCGTGGTCACTGCCACTCACTTGCAGTTCCACATTGAGATCATCAACTAAGAAGAAGCCCCAGTAAAGGTCTAACTTGATCTGTCTGTCTCATGGCGTCCCCCAGTGATGGTAATCTTGGTTTGAGTCTTGCTGCCCCCTCATTTCTCTCAGAAAGCACTGCATAAAGTATTCCTGTGTCTGTGACCCCTGTATTGACCTGACAATGGTCATATGTCACTCATTCAGTTGTCAAAACACAAACTGAGGTCTCAGTCTGCCCTGATACATGACAGAGCCACCCGTCCCAGTTCCTATCCCCGGTCCATTTTCCCCACTCAGGGTCTGGGAGACAAGCAACTGCCTTCTCCTGGAACTGCCGAGCACCTCTGCACTTATGTATGGTGATGAGGCTCTGTTCTGTCAGCCTGGGACTCGGGTTGACTGGAGTCTGCTGTGCCTCAGTTTCCTGTTCAGCACGCACCTAGAGAGAATGCCAGGGTTTGGCCGACTCTCCCGGGAGCAGGTCAGTGTGGCCCAAGTGGAGGACAGACCTCAATACCAGGTGGTGCCAGGGCTGGACACGCTGATGGATGGTGACAGCCGAGGTCCTCAGCTCCCCTTTTCCTTTCTCCACAGTCCCCTCCCCAGAACTCCTCCCCCAAAGGCTGCATAACAAACTTTCCTCTGAGACTACCTTTATCCCTACTCCTATCTCAATCAGCCAGGATGACCCCACCAGTCTCTAATTCTTCCCTCAAATTCTTTCTGCTTCCTTTTTCAGCTGCTCAATTTCATGGTCACACCAAAGCAACACAATCCAGTAGAACTCTGGTTGTGGGGAGGCTCTTTAAAGGAGCTGTCCAGTATGGACGTCTCTGGCCACATACAATTAGGAACCCACCTGAAATGCAACCGAGGAACTAAATTTTATTTAAATTTAAATAACTATATATGGCTAGTGGATGTCTCTAGACCTCACTGTCACTCGTAATCCTACTGTCTGGCTCAAATTGCTTTCCTAGTGCTCCTTTCTCTGATTACCTTCTTTCCTTCCAGTTCATCTTATAAATAACCTCAGTATTTCTGCAAATGTGGTATGGTCTTCCAATCTATTGACTCTACCAATTTTTTACAGTCACCACCTTAGGCAGATCCTGGTATTTTTCTTAACCCAGTTCCAATTCTGTGGTTAAATATTATAATCTTGAAGGTGGGCATGGTAGTGCACACCATCGCAGCACTCGGGAGACTGAGGCAGGATGATTGCCTTGAATTCAAGGCCAGTCTGAACTACACAGTGAGACTCTATCTCAAAAAAAAAATCTCTCCTTATCCCTTGATCTATGTTTGTGATTACTTATCTCAACTAGACAAATTCCACAGTAAATTTCTCTTGTAAATTTGCAATCCCATTTTATGGGTTGATTAATATCATTTCCTCTCCAAATGTCCAATTTTGCTTGAACTAATTTTATGACATCACCACTAACTCAGTTGAAGAAATAGGAATGGCTTGATAATTCCTAATTCATGCTCTCCTCCTACCCCCTCCTTCTCCATCTTAGGATGCAACTGGACCACACTTCTGCCTTCTCCACAGTTTAAATAAGTGAAGGACCTTTGACCCACCAAAGGCAACCCCCTACTACCTTGCTGCCTTTCTAAGTTATTTAGTCCTGCATGCACAGACCCACTGACACTGCCCAAATTATCAGTGTTTCTTCTCTCTCTCTCTCTCTCTCTCTCTCTCTCTCTCTCTCTCTCTCTGTGTGTGTGTGTGTGTGTGTGTGTATGTGTGTGTGTGTGTGTGTGAACATGTGTGGTGCTGAGGAGTTCAACTCACTGAGCTACATCCCCGTTTTATTTTATTTTGTGTTTATGTTGAGATACAGTCTCACTAAGTTGCCCAGGCTAGCCTCAAACATGGAGTCCTCCTGCCTCAGCCTGCCATGTGATTGAGATTACAGGCACATACCACCATACTTGCTTCCTCTCCTGGAGGAAGGTATGGTGGCAAATGCCTACAGTCTCAACACTGGAAGCCTGAAACAGGAGGATCACAAATTTGAGTACAGCCTGAATCACCTAACTGTTTAGAAAGATTCTGGCTCAAAAAGTGAGGTACGGGGGAGGTTTATCACTGGGGATGCAGCTCAATATGAGGGCCCTGAGCTCAGTCCCCTGTATCAGGGGGACAAAGAAAACCTGCTTCCTTGACAATCTCTGTTCTAGTTCTTTGCTTCTCCTAATAGTGAAACACGCTGCTACCATCTCCACTTCCGTTCTCATTTCCTCTTCAGCCCATCCCAGTCGTTCTTCTGTCCCTCTCATGCCACTGGGCTTGCACTGATTAATACTACAACTGACCAAACCAATGGTGTTTCTTTCTTCTTACCTTAAGTGTCCCCTCTAACTCAGGCAACAAAGTTGACTTCTCCCTCCTTATGGAAATATACAATGTTTTTAAAACAAAAAGGACAAGCAGGCATGGTGTACATATCTGTAACTCCAGCATTTGGGAGGCTGAGGCAGGAGGATCACTGTGAATTCAAGGCCAGCCTGAACTGCAGAGCAAGACCGTGTCTCAAAAACAAAAACAAAACAAAACAAACCTGGGCATGGTGATAATTCCACCAGTTGGAAGGCTGAACCAAAGGATCATCATGAGTTTCAAGCCAGTCTGGGCAACTTAGTAAGTTCAAGGCCAGCCTAAACTAAACAGCAAGACCGGTCTCAAAAAAAAAAAAAACTTATATAACCCACAAATACTTTAGAATGTATCTTTAATAGATGAGACTTTTGTAAAAATAAAGCTTCAATGTTATTCTTTCAATATTTACAGAAATTAATATTACGAACATCTATCCATATCTAATAACTACACTTTGAAATATATAGTACAGAATTTTCTTGTGCCCCTTTATAGCTAATCACTACTCCACCACCGAACTTCAGCAATGTTCATCTGTGTTCTGTTCCTACTGTTTTCCAGAATGTCACATGAAAAGGAGAATAGTGTATAGTTTTTTGAGTCCAGATTCTTTCATTTAGCGTAATGCTTTGGAAGTTTATTTATGGTATATAAGTATTAGCTCATTTATTTTCATTTCTGAGTAGTAATACATTGTGTGCATATACAATTTATAAGAAAAAACATGAATATAATTCCAAAAATGTAGCTCTCATAAATTCAACAGTTTAGAAGAAACTGATAAATTGATAAAAAAAATCATATAATATCAATTCATTCAGATGAAATAAATAAGCTGAATAGTTCTGTAATCATTAGAGAAATTAAACAGTAATTTAAAAACTCTCTGCAAATAAATTCTCAGACTTAAGTGGTCTCTCTGGATAATTTTAAGTAAATGTTTAAAGAAGCTTGTTCTAAAATTTTTATGGTTAGCCAGGCATGGTGGTGCACTCCTGCACTCAGGAGGTTGAATCAGGATGATTGTTGCAAGTTCAAGACCAGCCTGGGCTACACAGTGAGCCCAAGGCCAGCCTGAACTTCATAGCAAGACTCTGTTCTCAAAAAGACAAAAAAAATTATGGTATATTAAGGTTCTCTGGAGAAATAGAACCAATAAAATATAAACATGCACTTATGTATTATAAGGTACAAAATCACACAATTAACCTCGAAGGCCTACAACCTGCCATCTGCAAGCTGAAGGTCCAGGAAAGCCACTGGTGGTATTCAAAGGCCTGAGAGCCAGAGCCATTGGTTTAGATTCCACTCTTGAGTCTGAAGACCTGAGAAGAGGAGCCCTTGGAGCAGAAGGAAATCATGTCCCACTACAAGCATAGCTAATTCACCTTTCTGCACCTTTGCACTCTAGTCTGCCCCTCTGTAGATTGGGAGATGCCCACACACTCCAGAGAGGCCATTTACTTTGTTCAGCCAGCCATTTCAAACACTAATCTCTTCCAGAAGCACATCACAGAAATCGCATTTAACCAGTCATCTCAGCCTTCCGTGGCCCACCCAAGTTGACACATAAAATTAACCAATACACATAGAAAGCCACAGGCCCTGGGTCAACTAAAATAAACTTTAAAGGAAAGAATTCAGTGGGAGAAGTCATCCTACCCAGTGTTCAGGTTTAGCAGGAAGTTATACCATAAGTCATGAGTGTTGCATTACGGAGACACAAAAAAATCAGTACAACCAAAAAAGAATGCAGAGTAGATCCACACTGATCATCCTGCCTCAGCCTCCCAAATGCTGGAATTACAGGTATGTACCACCAAGCCTGCTTGTTCTTTTTCTTTTAAAAATATTGTATGTTTCAGTTAGGAGGGAACAGTCAACTTTATAGCCTGAATTAGAGAGGATACCTAAGGTAAGAAGAAAAAAATAACCCCAGATGCCCAACCCACCCAGAACAGGCCTGAAACTCAATGAGACAAATGAATTTGAAGTGAAATAATGGAACTTTCTAAAATGGTAACAAAAGAAGTGGAAAATACTATAAAGAAAATGATCTCACAGGAACAAAAGGAAATGGTTCTCAAAATCAAAGACGTTAGAGAAGACACAAATAAAAGAACAGATGAGCTTAGAAAAAGGTTGTTTTTTTATTTTAAAGCAAATGAAACTAAACAAAATCAAACAAACAATGAAAGTGATACAGAACTTGAAAACAAGATAACAGGAAATTAACAATGGCTACCATAATACCTCCTGTTATCTTCAAAATAGCTGTCCAGACCATCAGATTTAGGCATTTTGTTGTTGCTGTTGTTGTTACCAGGGATTGAACTAATGACCTTGCACTTGTCAGGCAGGTGCTTATGCCACTGAGCTAAATCCCTGGCTGGACATAGGCATTTTAAATTAACCAAACAATACAGGAACTAAGTGCTCCTTTACTTCAGTTGTTATCTGTTCAAAAATATCAGGCCTGTGATCTCTAATGTCTACTATGTCTGTGTCCCTGAACTTGTACTGTGTGGCCTGGAGGTCTGGGATTATATTTTGCTCCCTCGTCTTGACATTTTCCTGTGTCCCTGGGAATAAGCCCATTGCTGCATCCCGGGTGCTTCCTGCATTGGCCCTTCCTATCGTGC